ATATATATATATATATATATATATATATAAACATTTACTTGCATGTTATTTGACCATTATCTAAAATATTAATTTAAAATCTCAAGGGGTGCATCAAGTAAATATTTTATGTCCAAGCGGTTTGGCGAACAAAAAAAATTGTGAACACCTTCTGGAACACAATAGTGCTGTTTAGGCAATGTAAAAACAATTATTTTACACGTCATTATTAGGATACCTCATTACCACAACTAATGCTTCCACTTTTTCTGTCCTCTCAGATCACAGATGGCCGATGGCATCAGACACAGTTCATTTTCCAGACAGAGGACCCAAACTTACTGCCCATTGCGGAGGTCTACAACTTGCCCAGCACAAAATCTGGCTCACATTACCACCTTGAAGTCGGCCCTGTGTGCTTTTTATAAAGAAAGCAACAATGAAAACCTTAAATAGCCCGATCAGCAGCATTACAGAGCCTCTCTCTTGCCTAGAGGCCAACAAAACTGTACATCTCCTCTCAAGCGTGGAGTGCAGCCTTTAAACATGAGAAAAGAGGGAACTAGAGCAGCTTTGGAGAAAACAAGACTTCCTATGCGAGCAGCTTGGGATGACAGATTCTTTCTTTTCAGAGCCGGGTTTCTTCTGTTTGGAAACAAGGCCTGGATATGTGGTTAGAGGTGCTTCTTAAACTCTAATAGGAGTCTTAATTTATTCATAGTTGTGTTTTTCCCCACGTGGACAAGGAACAATTAAGACATTTATTTGTAATGAAGTACTTATTTTGTATTCTATAGTTATACATGATCATGTGTGCTTGTATATTTTCTGTAAAGTGCAATAGAGAATGAACAGATTTTTTGTTTTTAAAGATGAATCTTCTGTTTGGCTGTTCTAGGTAATTGAGGTTTACTGTCACTCATATCATTAATTCAGGTTCATTGTCGTGTGTACTTGTGTATACCAGCAGGTCTGTTGTAAAGGCCTCAGATACCAGCATGCATACAAAAACACACACGCGTTCATTCATAGCCAGAATATGAGTCGAGGTGAATCCAGACTTGAAAAGCAACATGTAAACGTCTACCTCCCATCTCTCATTTTTTTGGTGTTTTGGGACAGTAAATGGATTCACATGCATTTAACTTCTGTGGTTAGATTTCCGTTTCCGTCAAATGTTTTTAACTTAAGTGCCTTTTATACTTTGAAAGGGAATATTTTTGTATACATTTTTAAAAAGGAAAAAGTTCAAGTTTTTTTTTTTTTCAGCCAAACATATCTTTAATCCTTTATCTTCTAGTATGCCTTATTTGTACAAATATTTGAACTTTAAAGGCACAAGAATTATATTATTATAGCAGACATGGTGTTAAAAGTGCTTTATATCACTCGACTGTAGGTCTTTCCATCATTAAGTACATATATGCATTTCCATAAGCCCTATCTGACTGCAGAAGTAATTGTTTGACATGGTCTGTGTCATAATTACTGATTTTTGTATGTCTTTGTTAAGGTGCGTGTACAAAGCTGAATGTTGCAGTTATAAACAGCAAACCCGTGGTGTAATAAGGAGTTGTTGATCAAAATGAGAACACTAGAATATTCCACTATATTGGGTCTGTTATGAGCAGCGACTCTGACGTCATGGTAAGCTAATTATTACAGTGGCTGTGACCAAAAAGAGTTATGTATGATATTCTTGTGAAATATATCTGTTGTTTTGATCAAAACTGTCAGGAGCCATCTTATCTTGCCAAAGGAGGTTGTTAAATATCTGTTCTTTATACGTGTAAATTTGAGGTCTTGCTGTAATGCATGTTCTATCATTTCAGAGCAAACAAAGAAAGAAAGGTGGATATTCTTCAATGAATATTTTCATGGTCAAATATTACCTCCAAAAAACAGCAAACACCAAAGAACAAAGATTTCAGTGTTGTATGAATTAAATCATTGATACCACAGAAACAGACTGTCTTTATATCTCCCTGCCTTACTAACGTTCTTGTTTTTTGGCCATTTCTGTGCCTCATTTGAATAAAGAAATTACGAAAACATGTTGACAATCTTCACACTCACCCTCATTTTATTCCAAACCTGTATGCTGCAAAAATAGAAATCTTCAAGAATCTTAACACTTCTGATCATACGACGTCAGTTCATAGAGACCAAAAAAGGGCTTTCCATAATTATTATATAATTAAGAATAATTACATAATAATCCAACTCTGTAATGTGTTGGGATATGAATATGTAATGACATATATGTAAAAAGGTGACAGTCACTTTTGACTTATGTACACAAGCAGTTCTGTTGTAATTTCTTTCAATGTAAAGATCATGTCATATTTAGTCTCTATAGAAGCCTATATTATTAAACTGAAGGATATTATTGCATAGTGAATGTTAAAATAGCCTACTGCTGCTTTTACTCAATTATCACTTGGAAAGAGTGACTATAGAATATGTGCAATCTTAGATATCAATACCATGGACCATTAGTTCAAGTTGGGTAGATTACTTACAAGATGTAGTCCCTTACTGATTCCAAATTACATGACAAAAAAATTGTAGTTAGTAACGTAATCACCTCCCATTACACATTTTAGGTAATTTAATCAGACTACTTTTTGATTACTTATAGATTACTTTTGACTTTACTCCTTTATCACATTGATTTAAATAGGATAATCTTGTACCATATTGATATACAAATACAAATAGTAAAAAAATATATTCCATTCATTGTGATTAACAAGAAGTGCATTAAACATTACAAGGTTTCCCAAACTGGGGTTTGGATATTAACTGAAGGAGGTTCAAATGAAATGAAAATGGGTTTAATGAAAAGCTAATAATGAATTAAATCATAAAATGTAAAGTTAAAATAAATCATTTTAAAATAGCATCAATCAATCAAAAAAAAAAAAAACTTACAAAACAAATGAAGTATTTGTGTACCTGCATGTCATATGTGACCATTAACCAACGTTAGAGAACCATTAACTTGTAAATGTAATACTTAATTATTAAAATATTTGTTTTAAAATCTTAGTGGGACTTCAAATAGATATATTAGGTGAAAGAGGTTCAAATGACAAGAAAATTGGGGAATTTCTGCATTCCAAACAACGTCAATATGTGCTTTGCAGGGGTGCCGCTAGCAATTTTGGACCCTATGAAAGAATATGAGGTTGGGCCCCCTACCGCACCAAACATACACTATATTGCCCAAAGTATTGGGACACCCCCTTCTAATGAACAGGTTTGACTACTTTAGTCATTTCCATGAGTACAAATCATAATGTTTAAGCATATAATGATATTCTAGGGAATTGTGTGCTTCTAATTTTATACCAATAGTTTGGACAGGACCCTTTTCTATTCTAACACAACAATGCCTCTGTGTATAAGACAAGGTTAAAAAAAAAAGATGGATGCAGTCAGTGTGGAAGAACTTGACTGGTCTGCAGAAAGCCAAGTCCTAATCCCAGCTGAACACCTCTGGTGTGACTTTAAATGCAGACCTTGAGCCAAAAACTCATCACCAAACACCTGTGACTTGTACATACATATGGACAAAAGTATTAGGACACCCCCTTCTTTAGAAAAGACAAAGGCACTTCCAAAACATAATTCATGTATTTAAAAATTGTATTTCCATCTTTGTTGCCACAGTTTTGGAAGTGGCTAAAATGACTGTACCCATATGTACAAGTCACAGGTGTCTTGAGCCAAAAACTCATCACCAAACACCTGTGACTTGTACATATGGGTACAGTCATTTTAGCCACTTCCAAAACTGTGGCAACAAAGATGGAAATTTGAGAGAATCAATAAATTCTGAATAATGTATTGCTATTGTGTTAATAATAAGTAATCATGTAATCGATTAAAAAAGTAGGCTAACTGTTGTCTAATTACGAGTAGCCTATTTTAAAATTTAATTTAATCTAGTTACAAGTAGGCTACTTAATTTTTGGAATCTGATTACGCAGATTAGCCTACACATAATCGGTTACTACCCAGCTCTGTGGACAACGGACCATTGCTGAGCTTTACATGCAAATTAACATACACACGGAACCACAGAGAGAGGTGTCTTATCATTAACCAAAAACTAATCACACCTCTGTTTATTCCCTAGAATATCATTATATGCTTAAACATTAAGATTTGTACTCGTGGAAATGACTAAAGTAGTCAAAGCTGTTCATTTTAAGGCGGTGTTAAAAAAAAAAAAGATGGATGCAGTCAGTGTGGAAGAACTTGACTAGTCACAACAAAGGCACTTCCAAAACTGTGGCAACAAAGATGGAAACATAATTCATGTATTTAAAAATTGTATTTTCATCTTTATTAACACAATAGCAATACATTATTCAGAATTTATTGATTCTCTCTAATTCCTCTTTTTCCTTTCGAAATGTTCCTTTCGAAAGTAGCCTACCGCTTATGTACACTCAGATAGTCGTCCAGTTTTATGGATATTCACACAAAGATCAGTCATTAATCAGGTGGCTTTGCGGCATTTACAGAAATAATTTCAGGTTTAAGAAGTATTTCAACATTGCATCGACTGATGATGAAAAAATTGATTTTGAATCATCACTCACGAGATTATAAGCATGTAGGCTACTATATGTCTTTGGAATGCTTTTGTCTTTCAAACACAATACAACTATTCAAAATCTTTGTCTGCAATTGAATAATATTGACCTATTAGCCTACTTTTGCCATTGCTTTTGATCATTAGGTATCAGTAACATAATTCATTCAGAACCTGTTTTATGGACATAGACCTTCTGTACCACACTATTCTGCTGATATGGAATGAGTTTGACTACTTAATCAGTTATATTAATAGAAATGCTTCACTGGGGCAAACAAAAAATAATAAATAGGATACCCCATTACACCAGCATTTCCAGCAGTAGCTATCCAACATTTCTCAATCATGATCTTACTCAGCTAAATGGGACTATTAGCTTAACAGCTGTATTCCTTGTTTGCTAGCTATGCACATACAATGTTAAAAATGTTCTACATTTTATGAACCTTAACCCAAAAACCTTTAGCTTCATACACTAGATAATTGTGACACTGCCTGTGGAAAAACCCAGCTGAAGTATTTTTTTATTTTTTTTACAGTGGATGAGTAATTCACTCCTTGATTTGCTTAATAAAAACCTCCTTTGAGATCATTTTGACTGACATGTTTATTGTGTATTATTTTCAACTTGTTTATTGCTGAGTTTAGTGTGGCAAAATAGAAGCGCAGCCATAATTCGCATGCAGTGTATCTGGCTGCCATGACAACCTCACACGCTTTCTGCTGATCGTGATTAAACCAGAACAATTTAAAATAAATGAACAAAAACCATTTTTAAAGTTTGGGCTCCTGATGGCTAGCAGATGGAAGTTCATGGACCGGATTCGTGACACTAGCACTCTCTATTCTAATTCTATTCTTTAAAAAAACTTCCCCTTTTAGACTTGCACTCTCTTTATTTACTAACTGCTTGTTTTCTTGAAAGAAAAAACGTTAAATAGTGAGGGAGTGATATGAAACAGCTGGGTGCAATCAGTGTTAACAGCTGTGTAGTGCGAGAGTCAATGAAATTGAAAAGGGGGACCTCTGATGGCTAGCAGATGGAAGTTCATGGACCGGATTCGTGACACTAGCACTCTCTATTCTAATTCTATTCTTTAAAAAAACTTCCCCTTTTAGACTTGCACTCTCTTTATTTACTAACTGCTTGTTTTCTTGAAAGAAAAAACACTAGCTTCTTTAATCTTTTTGTATTCTATTTGTTTTCTTTTTATTTATTATACAATTAACAAAATCAGAAAAGGCCTCTAACACTAGCTTGCTCTGTTCTTTTTCTATTCTATGTTTTCTTTTTATTTATTAAAAAAAACCTTGCTACGTGCGTTAAGCTAACTGAGACTTGTAATAGCACTTGCATATCATTGCTCTTTTGTTGATTTTGATTGCTTCCATTGTCCTCGCTTTGGATAAAAGCATCTGCTAAATGACCAAAAGTAAAGGTAAAGAGTATCATTCATCCCAGAACGTGCTTTAGTACCAGTCTGCTCTATTTACAACATACCAGCAGGGGGTGATGGGACCCTCAAAGCAAATCTTTGAAATATTTCCGCGTTTAAATTTAAGTAGCTAGAAGGCTATAAAAGCCCAATCTCATCTGCTTGCCCCATAATTCTTCTAGTCTAAAATAAAATATTTTAGTGTTTGATATTGAATAACTACAACACTTAATGAACCAGAATGGGAAAGATTAGTACACTTTTTCTTTTTTTAAAAAGTCACTTTATTTCTATTTCAAGCCACGTTCACGTATCTATCCATAATGATACAACACTGCCACCTAGTGACTATACATGAAAATAACACAATGAAATTTGGAATGACACATGGGCCTACTTCAACAATACCTTATTTAAAAATACCTCCCACAACCCTTGTGATCAAGTATGACAATGAAAAGGTCGTTTATCACTTGATTGTTTCCTAGAAGACAAGAAGACAGTCAAAATATTTAAATAAATTGCTTTATCAAAATGCATCATCTGCACTAATATTTCATGTTATATCAATGATCCCATGCTGTGTGTGCTGTTGATGTGCCATAACCTGTATACTTACTTACGTACATAGGTATAAGCACTCTTAGAGAGATTTCCTGTCTTTGATGATGTAGTGTGTGTTTTGCGAGGGACCAATCCCAGATCTCCAGTTTTGAAGTGAGACAGATATGTAGATAAGTAGATTTCTGCAGGAATTCACTTGGTCTGGAGTTAAAAGCAAGCATGAGAGTCACTGTATCACATTGGCAAAATGATTGTATGATTAGCACGTCTTAGAGCTGCAATATGTTGCATGTCCATTTTAATCCATGACACTGAATTAAAATAAATGAATGTGTACCTTTTAATGTCAGAGGCTTTTTTGAGATCATGACTGCAAGTCGCCTCTGGTATGAAGTCAGTAAGAGCTGGACCGTTTCCTAAAGCTGCAGCACTGTCCAGCTCAGCCAGCAGCTTCTGCATCATCTAATTTCGTCTGACAGTAATCTTCAGTTCTGAGTCTTCCTCTTTAGGGACCTCATGTAACTACTGCTTATTTACTTGGCTGTAACACCAAATGATAATTGACCTGTTTATGTTCACTCTTACCCTTAGGGCCTCTTTTAAAGCTACTGCTGCTTCCTCAAGAACTGTTTTTAGCTGTTTTCTTAACATCTGTTCCTCTTCAAGCTCTTTCCTCTGTCTCTTGGCTTCAGCTTTTGTTTGGTTTAGCCCTTCTATTACTGTTGCATGTTTTTTTTTCTGTAAGTACAGTGGTGGTAATGCTATTAAAACACACTAAAGGAAGTATTTAATGTAAATTATTTGACTTATAAGCAACTTCAGGAGTCCAACCTGAGAGCATCAAGCTCTGTATATATTGCAGAGTGACTGTCTAGCAGCTCTTGGTGCTCCACTTTAAGTTTGGCACATTTCTCCACTTCAGACTGCATTTGCTTGCACTTTTCTGACAAACTACCTTGAGAAAGCGTCATGTTTCATTTTTGCTCTAGGCTATATAAAATGCACGTTTCCAAACAGCAAGAAAAAAAAAAAAGATTGCTTAAACGCATGAAAGTATAGACGTATACACTTTTTTTGATTAACCTTTTGATTAGCAACATTCTTCTTGGTTATCTCATGTAGCAGCGGTTCAGTGATGGCATTCTCTATTTTGAGCTGCTTTTCTCTTGCTCGCAGATCATCATTCTCCTTCAGCAGCTCCTTGGTCTTGTCTGAGAGCTGCTGAAGTTGTGCTGTCAAAGAGAGGTTTTCTTGCATGGCCTTCTTTGTCGTCTTGGGCATCCTCTGATCTGAAACCCGCAGAAATTCAGCTGCTACAGCAGCAAAATGTTGCAGCATTTCTTTCTTTAGCCTGTATCAGCCAAAAAGGTCAATTAAATAAAATGTAGCTTGTAGTTAACACATTTTTTTTTACCAACTTTATATTTTTAAAAATACATTTAAAAGATATCAGCAAGGGAATCCAGCATAAATGACAAATAATTCCATGTGGCGACCTCTAACGGGAGCAGCTGAAGGTAATAATAATATATAAATATTTAAAACATTTAATATTGGTAACACTTTTTTCCATTTGTTAACATTAGTTAACATGAACTAACAATGAAAAATTCTTCTAAAGCATTTATTAATCTTAGTTAATGTTGTTTTCAAAATGTATGAATGCATTATTAAAATCAAGAGTTGTATGTTTTTAAAAATAATAATTTTATTATTTATATCATTTATAAATAAGGCCTTACATTGCGATCTTTCATTGAAAATAGAAGATGAATGGAAAACAATCACCCATTTGACATATATGTAATTTCTAATGTTCGGCACTGATGGCTTCAGACCTTAAATAATGCACAATATTTATGAAAATTGGTCATTAATGATCCAGTCATATTCAGCTAAGAATGCACTTCCCATGATCTCTGAACAATGAGTATGAACATGCTCACCTGTCATTGTCCAGTACTGCTTTTTTCTCCAGATTATAGATTTGTGCTTGATGTTCTTCTTTTTGCTTTTGAAGCTGCTCTTCCAAACACCTGCGTTCAGCCATAAGCTTCTCTCTCTGTATAGAGAACTCCTCCAAGACGCCAGTTTACCAGCTGAACACAAAAAGGTTAGCACATTTTAGTTTGTAAGGTGCTTTTATTAATACCAGGCACTTATGATGTTTAATGCCTCAGTACAGCTAAGACCTGAAAAATCAATTTGACATTTTGAATTGTAATATACAGTAGGCTATATCGCGTTAGTGATAATTCAAAAATGTATGAATGCATTATTAAAATCAAGAGTTGTATGTTTTTAAAAATAATAATTTTATTATTTATATCATTTATAAATAAGGCCTTACATTGCGATCTTTCATTGAAAATAGAAGATGAATGGAAAACAATCACCCATTTGACATATATGTAATTTCTAATGTTCGGCACTGATGGCTTCAGACCTTAAATAATGCACAATATTTATGAAAATTGGTCATTAATGATCCAGTCATATTCAGCTAAGAATGCACTTCCCATGATCTCTGAACAATGAGTATGAACATGCTCACCTGTCATTGTCCAGTACTGCTTTTTTCTCCAGATTATAGATTTGTGCTTGATGTTCTTCTTTTTGCTTTTGAAGCTGCTCTTCCAAACACCTGCGTTCAGCCATAAGCTTCTCTCTCTGTATAGAGAACTCCTCCAAAGACGCCAGTTTACCAGCTGAACACAAAAAGGTTAGCACATTTTAGTTTGTAAGGTGCTTTTATTAATACCAGGCACTTATGATGTTTAATGCCTCAGTACAGCTAAGACCTGAAAAATCAATTTGACATTTTGAATTGTAATATGCAGTAGGCTATATCGCGTTAGTGATAATTCATATACGTTTTTATTTTATTAGATGTTTGTATTCTATGTGAATATGTGACTCCTCAGAAGTACCAAGCGCCATGTTCTCAGATATGAATTTTTCCTTATTTTCCTGAAGCTCGTATCTAAGCAGGCTCAGTTGTAACTCAAAGGACTCTCTCTCAGCCTCTTGAGCTTGCTGATGTCTTGATAACGTCTCAGCCAGATCAATCAGTTCATCTTCTTTTTGAGCCAGTGTGCGTTTTAGGTAGAGAACTATGTCTTTCTTCTCTTTCTCTACATTATTGATCTTTGAGTATAAATAATTTTCCTGAACCTCCAGTTCATCACATTTTTGCTGGTATCTGCAAGAAAAAAAAAAGACAAGGTCACAGTTCTTAATAACGTGTATGAGGCAAGTGCTTCCTGTAGAGGGTATGACATATTTGCTGAATTATGTTGCCTGGTTAATTATTAACAGTAGATTATAATCCAAAGTCTATTTCATTTTAGTTTCCTCAAAGGCACAGACATGAGCTGCACGAATAACCTAAACTCACAGTAAATATTATGAGATCAATTCTGTTGATGCTATTATAATCTTGTGACCTATATTTGAATCCAAAAATAGCTTACAAAGACTTCAATCAAGTTGTCAAATCAGCATCATCGTTAGGTGAGTTTTTGCTGCACGTCCTCATTACTTTAACTACATGAATGTACTAGTGCATTTTTGTTTTTAGGTGTTTAGAGTTTTTTTCTGAGATTGCCTGAATTCAGAAGTATTTTCTTATAAACTTCTGACTAATGTCACATAACAAACAACCATGTAAAATAAAAGGTCGTGGTCCCTTTTCCATTCTTTTTGGGAGGCATTGAACTTTTAGCCTACTTTAAACGAAACAGCCTGAGAAGTACAAACTTGCAAATGCAACTGTTTCTTGTTGCCATGGATGTGAGGTTTGAGTTTGAGTTGTGTGTCAGGCGCTGCGCAGTGTACATTGTCCTTTTTCACAGTCTTTCAAAATATTGTACAAAGAGGTTTGGGCCTATTAAACGGCCGTTTCACTTTCATTTTTGATTGAAACATGAGCTGTATCCTGTCATTTGCTAATTCTACACATTTCTCTAATGTTTAATATAAGATTAATAATTGCTTTGCAAGTGTTAGTTCATGTTAAGGTATGTAAACAAATTGAACCTTATAATACAATGATCTAAATGAGACCATGGGCATCTGCGAGCCACAGTTGATATTGCTGAACAGTCTAAACAAACGCTTTTGGCGTACAATAACAGGCATTTTGTGAGTATGATGAAGATGCCAAGTTGTAGGGGAGGGGTGAGAAAGATACAGAAAAAAACGACGTCATCATGAGACACTGCAACATTGTAGCAAAGAATAATAGACGCGCTGCGTGTCAAGTGACAAAGAACTGCGCGTGAAACGCACACATGACCGCGATGAACAAGACTCATGACCATGTAATGACAGCTGAGGCTGTTTAAACGTTAAAACATGGAATGAAAGTGAAATTCGATAGCAATTAAGTTCTACACTGATCGCTGAGGTCAGATATTACAAAATGACTTTGAAAGTTGAACTTTAAGGTCTTCTGATCGTAAAAGTTGCATTCCCTGTAGGTAAACTGTCACATGTTAAGGTAAAGTTACATTGTCCGTAAGACTTTTGTGTTTATAGTGATAGATGGTGCTTGTTTATGGATGTCTGAGAGGAGTAGAGAGTAGGTTCGGGGAGGGGAGTCTGCTCATTATGTAACTGCCGTTTGGAAAAGTGTTTTCGTGCTCAGCTTTCTGAGTCTGACATTCCTACAGTTCCAGTGGGATTCGGTTAGACAACACAGCGAGAGCAGATCACAGAGAAACAACGTGCTCATCCTCATCCTGTCATATCGCATGTCGCACTTGTGGAGGGTCTAACAAGGGTTTTATACAAGAGAATTACTTTGGTGAGAACCCCTTTCCGGTAGGAGGTTATTTTATGGTTGTTAAAATGAGTCAAATGAGTTTGAAGGACGTCTGAATAATTATGTACTATGGGTGTAAGGAGTTGAAGTGTCCTTTAATATGTTTATGCCATATACTTTTTGATACTGTAATATTTTTTTACTGCAAAACAAAGCGTGCTCATCCTCGTTCTGTCATATAGCATGTTGTATTTGTGAGCGGAGGGATTTTCTACTGAGAACAAGTGAAGTGTTTGGGAAGTGTTTTGTGGAGGAGAATGACTTTCTGAGAATCCTTTTCTGATTTGAGGTTATTTTATGGTTGTTTAGGTGACCTCTGATTTATAATGTAAACATCAGAGTAAGGTGTTGAAGTGTCTTCTTATGCCAAAGTCATTTTCTTAATGAGCGTTTTCTTGTTTTTCAGTTACAAAAATAGCATCTGTTACATTTGTATGCAAACTAAATTGTGGTATATTATTGGTAAGACTTGAATATACTTTCTATAACCAAAAAAAACTAAATGTAGTATTATGTATGCTTAAAACATCAAAAAAGAAAAAAGGAAGAAAAAACAATAAAGAAAAAACTGTTTGTCATTGAGGTAAGAACATTTATATTTATAAATATAGAAACTTTCTTACCTCAATGACAAACTGTTTTTTCTTTATTGTTTTTTCTATACTGATTTTTATATTTATACTGGAAAACAACAAAACACTTGTTAAGAAATTCAGATTTCATGAGTCTTGTGGGTTTTGTCTGAATGTGCGTTGAGGAATGTGTGTAGCGTTTTGTTTTTTAAGTAGGTTTTTTTTTTCAACCCAGAAGGCTATGTTCAGTACAGAACGTTAAATATCTGATTGTGAAACCGTGAGAGGGAACTGGTGTTGTAATCTCTAAGATATTCAGACTGTCTGGCATGGAGGCTTTTTGTTTGGGAATGGACACAGCAGGCTGTAACTGGGTGTTGTCAGATGTGTCTGTGGTCCAACAGTTGTGTAAATGCATCCCCTAATATACTGAGGATATAGTGGTCATTGGAAAGAGCAGCATGTGTTTTTCAGGTGACAGTTTCCTGCCTTAGAGCCATCTGCCTGTCACTTCATACTCAGTGTGAAGTTATGCTTATGAATAAGTGTTTCCACTCAGAAACAAACGCATGACTCATAGCTCATTACCATATTTTCACATTGGTTACCACAATGGTCTAATTTTATCACTTTTCTGCATTTACAGGCATTCAGGTCTCATGGAAAACAGTGGCGTTTATGTAAAGGTAGGCTACCATGTGATACTTGTAATATATTAACTTGACAGGTTTCAGGGTGACATTGTGACATTATTATTAAGGGGAAACTTAATTAAGGGGAAACTTTTAGTTTTTGGTCTATGGCTTTCAGTCATATAGATCCTTACTATGAAGGGATAGTTCACACAAAAAGGACATTTCTGTCATCATTTACATTCCAAACCATTCCCATTGTCTTCCATTGTATTTTTTGTTCATACAGTAGAAGTCAAAGGAAATTGAAACTGTTTAGTTATGAACATTCTACAAAATATCTCCTTTTGCGTTCTGCAGATGAAAGAAAGTCATGCAGGTTTGGAATGACATGCAGGTGAATAAACAAATGACAGATTTTTCATTTTTAGATGAACTATCCCTTTAACTTTTGGTAAAAACAATTATGAGCACTGACAATTATTGATAAAAATTGCTGCATTATAAATGTTATTTTGTTTTGCTGGTGACACAAAGTGTTGGTCACAAAGGAATCGGAGAGCTTTGCTATTAAAATCTAATTGAATTAGGATGGGTGACACAAAAGGGCTTGGACTGCTGCCCATGACTTCAGAATGGTTGAGGACAAATAGGGTTACTGTAGGCAACCAACTGTGCCAAATGTTACTGTTTATTTTAGAGCAACTGAAAACGGGCTCACATTTAAATAGAAATGTTTCACATTATACCACTGATAGGCCTAGTTGTTGTAGCATCTAAAACAAAGGCAGTATTTTCACCATTACTGTTGTTTGTCTTTCTGCACAATAGTTACTTAACATGCAGGACATTTTCCCATCATTTAAGTCCAACTTTATCAGTTTTATTGCTCCAGATGAACATATAAATAGATTGGATAATGGGGCTAGTTGTTGCTTGTGAGACTCCACACAATGCTGTTAGCATATATTACTGCAGTGATATACTGTATATTGGCCTATTATGAACTGTAAACACAATGATATTACCTTAACAGCTGAGAACCGCAATCTAGATCTGAGTCATTTGTTTCATAGGATGTTTCTCATGATTTCTTTGTTCTTATGGTTTCTCATTATTGCTTTATTTTCTTTAGTTTTCTAAAGAGACATGCCAACTGAATTCCCCATCAGACAAACTGAAGCAAGAGTTGGAACAAGAGTTGAAATTAAGCAGCTGTAACTTATCAAGTCATGGCTGGTACCATAGTCGCATACCTTGGGAGGTGAGTTTATAAATATTTGTATGTACACTTTTAGAAATAAAGGTTCCAAATGATGTTTTCCTAGCAATGCCATAGAAGAACCATTTTTGGTTCCCTCAAAATAATCTTTTAGTTAACAGTTCTTAGAAAAACCATTTTTTTGTAATTCGGTGAAGAACTTTTTAATATTCTAAAGAAACTTTCTTCATTGTAAAAATGTTTGCGGAATGGAAAGCTTCCATAGATGTTAAAGGGGTCATATGATGCGATTTAAATTTTTCCTTTCTCTTTGGAGTGTTACAAGCTCTTGGTGCATAAAGAAGATCTGTAAAGTTGCAAAGACTAAAGTCTCAAATCCAAAGAGATATTCTTTATAAAAGTTAAGAGTCAACCACACCTACCTAAAACGGCTAGTTCTAACACGCCCCCACATGTCTACGTCACGATGTGGGAAGATTTGCATAACACCACCCAAATGTTCACACAAAGAAAGAAGGCGTAACTTTTATTCTTACTGTAGTATTGTTGTTGCCGCCGCCACCATGTCTTGAAGGCGCTGTGTGTTTCGTTGTGAAAGCTACTTTTTTGGTCTTCCAAAAGAGGACGATATCCGCTTGTCATGCCTAGAGCTGATCCGTGCTGGTCGCTGAGGAACTGGATGCAACAAATGCCTCGATTATAATGGGTTTTCATGTTTTTGTCTCGTCGCCCTGGCCGGGACACGGCATCACAGTATGGTGAGGGGCATAACATTTCCGTCACACGCTTAAGGTATTCAGCCAATCACAACGCACTGGATAACTGGCCAATCACAGCACACCTCGCTTTTCAGACCAATGAGCTTTGTAAAAATCGACGCGTTTCAAACAGGAGGACCAATAATGTACAGTATGGGGAAAATAATGTGTTTTTTTAACCTTAAACCGCATAAACACATTTCATTACACCAAATACATCAAATAATGTTCTTTTTAGAAACATCATATGACCCCTTTAAAGGTTGTTCATAAAACGATAGATACCAATAAAGAACCATTAGTTTTAAGAGTGTAATATTTAATATTCTTACATATTTACATGTTCTTGGTTTGACTAGTGTTTCCCCATCTCAGAATACATTAATATAATGGAAATTTTGTACAGTATGACTTAATAATGACTTTTTACAGGTTTCTGAGTCTCTTGTGCAACGGGATGGGGATTTTCTAGTCCGTGACTCCCTCGCTAGCATTGGAGACTATGTTTTAACCTGCTGCTGGAACCAGAAAGCTCTTCATTTCCTCATCCACAAGGTTCTGCTCAGATCTTATGAGACATATACTCGTGCACAGTACTTTCTGGAGGAGGAAACCTTTGATTCTCTGCCAGCACTTGTTCATTCCTATGTTGGAAATAAAAGGCCTCTGACAAAGCAGAGTGGTGCCTACATTTACTCACCAGTTAACAGGACACTTCCACTAAGATACCTAGAAACCATGTTTGGGCTTCCAAGTGTGGAAAACAGCCCAGTAAACTCACCAACCAGACAGAAGGGAAGCCAAAAGAAGAGGGAAAGCATAACTGTGACAGAGGCTTTGGAAATTGAGCTGATAAGACCACAGAGGTGAGATTTATGATAGAAACTGTTCAGAAAATCAGTCATTGATATTAAAAGAGAACTGTGTAATTTTTTAGTCTTAAGCATCACCAAACAAAAATAACATCTGCAATTAGTCAGTCAAACACATAGCCACAGCCCAAACACATTCCATTGGTTGAGGTATTGTTGCTGTTGTTGGGCTGGTTGGGGCGTTTAAACAAACAATGCTTGATAGCGACGCAGTTCCACAAACTGTGTCAGTAAAGACAAAGATTTTAAATAACTGCTGTTCATTTGAAAATGTCAATGTATCACAGATTCCACAAAAATATTAATCAGCAATTGAGTACCAATACTAA